AGCCTTATAGGCCTTAACCTTATGGACTATTATTAATTATTCAAACAAACTGCTTATATTGCCATTTTAATCAATACAGACCTAGGCCCTCCCTAACACCTAAGCCTAGAGACTTAAGGTAAACTTAGGCATAGAAAGATTTGGCGCTGCAGTTGAACTATTTTAAAAATACAGATTTGTATTGTTTTACGACATTCTTTTAGATACTAATAATCCCTGCAGTAGTTAAATAAATCACTACCCTACTCCCCACCGAGTGTGATATATTCAGTAAGACAAAGTTGTATGTATGCATGTATGTATGTATGTATGTGTGTATGTGTGTATGTGTGTGTGTGGGGGTGTGTGCGTGCGTGCGTGCGTGCGTGCGTGCATGCGTGCGTGCGTGCATGCGTGCATGCGTGTATGCGTGTATGCGTGCATGCGTGCATGCGTGTATGCGTGCATGCGTGTATGCGTTTATGCGCGTATGCGCGTATGTGCGTATGTGCGTATGTGCGTATGTGCGTATGTATGTATGTATGTATGTATGTATGTATGTATGTATGTATGTATGGGTGTATGTATGTATTCATGTATGTGTGTATGTGTGTATGTATGTATGTATGTTATGTTTGGTTATGAACGTGACAAAAATGAAGGACAGGGAAAACTTAAAATTAGATAGCATAAAGTCATGTTTAATTATGTTAAGAAAAAATATTTAAGAGAACGAATTAATAACTTTAGAAAGAGAGAATCACAGGGTAAAATTTTTAAAACTGTGGGAATCGTTCATAAATTGTCTAACAGTCACCTGTGTAATATGAAATTAACAGATAAGCTGGTATCGTTTGCAGTCAAAGGTAGAATGCAGTTATTACAATGCCACTCGTTGTTAAATCTTTACTACCCAAATGCTTATGAAAAAAAAAGTGAAAACTTTGTAATAACCGATACGAAACCGTGTCTCATGTATTAAATGGAGGTATGAATCTTAGAAAACACCATATTGCCCATCATGATCGAATAGTTAATTATATTGTCAGAGAATACTGTAAGATTAAATTAGATAAAGTACAAGTGTTTGAGAACCAAATAGTAAAAAGTAATAAGTTTGGTCTTGATGATGATAACCAATTGCAGGCAATAGAACACAGAAAACCTAAATAATTGATAACAATCAAAATAGATGTTACATAGTAGAAATCTCGACACCGTACGATGCATTCCTTGACGAATGTTATAACACGAAAGTAGCATATTATGTTCCAATTAGGGATATTATTGAAACTACAGGATATAAATATGAAGTAATAGCTTGCATAGACGATTTTGGCCAGGGTTGAGTACCCTGGGGTTTAACAAGAAATGTGTGTAAACAATGTCGATATTGCAGTGTAATCGCTATGATTGGTTCATGGTATACTTGGCGAAGAAGGTGTATGGCCATTGATAATTAAATATTGGAACAGAAAATTGTGAACATTGAAAGTATAGGTGCTTTATGTTATGATTTGCTTAAGTGTGTGTAATCCGAGTTGGTGGATCCCCAACATGTATAAATGGAAAAGAGCAAATAATCTTTTATACATTTTTTATTTAAACCATATTTAAAGAGGGTGATCCTTGCAGCTAAGCCAAGAAGATCAGCTGATATTCAGAGGCCCCTCTTAAAGAAAAGTAGAATACAATTCAATACATCCAAACAGATAATTAAACACCTAAAAATTAATTTTTAAAGATTTCACAAATTATATAAAATATATTTATGCACTATTATATATAGGATATCTTCACTAATCAGCTAATCAGGTTTAAAATATATCTCTTAAATTTGCATTTGAAAATAATTTCAATTGTACAATCACGGAGTTTAACAGCAGGAAGCTCATTATATATAATAGGGGAGAGATGGCTGAATGCACGCTGAAAACATTTTAAATTTACTTTAGTAATTAATATGTCCCCTCTGGAGACAGCTCGCGTCCGTACAGATCGGGTACGAACTCCGGACATACGATCAACGAGGTATTTAAGGGCATTGTAGTTAAGTGCCTTAAAGGTGAGACAACCTTATACCGAACTATCTGACGCTCACATACATAATTTTAAGTGTCGTTAAAAGGCTATTGATGGAAGTGAGGTGTGTGCTATGAGTATGGTCATAGTGGCCCTATTTTTGCAATTTTTGAATTAGTATGAGTTGCTGGTACCCCACAATAAGGCACCATAGTCAAAAATTGTAAGGATTAAAGTGTTACTAAATAAAAGTGCAGTGCAAATATTGTATGTATTTTCTTATTCCAACATTCCTCACATCAATTGATTTAATTTTAAGCCGCTGAGGTGTGCCAATTAGCATCACCTTAGTTTTGTCATAATTTAATGTCCGACAGTTAGAAATAAGCAAGGTATTAATGATTTGTAAATCATCATTTTGCCTTTTGTTAATAGTATCTATGCAGGAGTGAAAATAAAAAAGTGAAGTATCATCACGTTAACAGTACTATGTTTGGAAATGGAGGCCAAGTCGAAAATAGTAAATAATAGTGGGCCAAGAATGGACCCTTGTGGAATACCATATTTGACGGTGAGAATGAATATATATATGCTTTTAAATTTAACAGTTTGCTTGCGATTCTAATGGTAAGAATAGAACCATTTATTAGCAGAGGGAGGTACACCATATTGGGGCAGCTTTTCCAGAAGGATTATTATGGTTGACGGTGTCAAATTCCTTCTGTAGATCTATAAAAACTGCCAAGTAAGGCGACCAGTATTCGTGCCGGTACATTTTATTTTAATTTTTAAATTGTATGAGGCCCTGGCCGGTTGCATGTCCACCCAACTTAGAATCCGTCTCCGCCCTTAAACATCGCAATACATAAACAATTAAATACATGATTATCCATTAATAGTAGGCCTATTATTAAATACATGTAAAGATATTATACATACCATGTTAAAATCGATTAATACAAAGTATGTAGTCCTACTAATAATTCGGATATTTGGATGATAATCGATTGGAACGATGACCATTTTAATCAGATTGGCCTTATCATGTTTCAGGGAAACATAAATTGTGGTATGGAAGTGACACGTTATTTAAACAATCAATGAATTTGGTTACCCAAACGTCTTTATATTGGTATTTTCAAACATATTAGACGTAGGCCTATACAATTATTACGGGGAAAGTAAATTTTTGTCAGTCTTTTTATAGTGTTAATAGAACCTATTATTAAATGTTGGAATGTACCTTATAGAATATAACCTGGTACAGATGTAGAGAAAAAATTTTGTTTTGAAATGGTTGAGGCCATAGGCACTGATTGGATTCAAAATTTGGTTTTGGAGTAGGCCTACGGTAACGTCATGCTCCGCTCTTTCTGGAATTTCTTCTTCATTTCTTTCTCTATTTCTGGGGGATAGCCCCTGTGCTCCCTGAATCCGCTCCTGATAACGATTGATTGAATGATTGCAAAGGTAAATTGGAACTCAGATAAATACTTTCATGATTAAACATGTAACTAATGCACGCTGAAGATATTGCACATACGCGGTCTGGCTGGTCCAGTTTTGGCCGAACCAATACTTCAAAATTAATATCGTTTGTATGTCAAAATTGTCATATTAACGCAACATAGTTTTTTTAAACAAAATTACAGTATGGCCTGACTCAGCACACATTACCACGCACAACTCGTAAAGGATACTGTATTTTATAAGTATGCCTAATATATATGAAAATGACTACCAAAAAAAAAAAAAAGAATTTTAAAATAATTTTGGACTTTTCAAACATGCCATCCTAAAGAATAATAATAATTCATATGAATTCAAAAACATGCATTAATTTGCACAGGTATGACTGGTCCTTTTCAAAATATAATATTCCGCAAAGTATGCTGTACAATCACAACATTAATACATTTCATTGCATACATTTTCAAGTACAGTTTGTCATCCAATCATAATATCAGGAAATTCGTGTATATAAATATTAGTTTACAGTAGTTATGTATCTTGTATTGTATATAGCCAAAGAATAAACATTTCAATGGTAATTTTCTGATAAGCTTTACAAACACAATTTTAGAGGGAAGTACGCCCCTTACACAACCTCTAAATCTGCCACTGAGGTAATCACGGTATTAAAATCATCAGTGAATATAGTAAAACACTACAAATCTGCCTCGACTACCATGAAATCAGTCGTAGTCGTCTTCCTGTATTTTTTAGTGTATTGAATTAACGCAGTCAGTATATTGTTTGCAAAGTGCTGTACATTGCAAGTTGTCTTTTTATGATGCATTCACCACGACATCGACACTTTACAAGTTCAAGAACAGCCTTAGGTGCAGGAAGTTCAGTGCATTTCTTTTGAGGTCTGTTGCTTTCTTTCATCCAACCTTATACCAGCTTAAATGTAATATGTAGCCATGTTTTTTTTTTTTTTGTTTTTTTTTGTTTTTTTTTTTGTTTTTTGTTACTAAATCACTAAAGCCAGTGATGATTGAAAGCTTCTGAATAGCTGAAAGTTTTAAAAATGTTTATTTATATTTTTCATTTGATATGATAAATTTCATTTGAAACTGATTTAAATAATAAATGACTAATTTGGGCTTAACGGAACTAACCGTTTGCCCAAAAAGCACACTGGCCAATACATAACTGTAAATAGTAAAATGCTAGGTCGTAGTTGGAGGGACCCCTCATAAAAATGCGTGTTTGTGGGATTTTGGTCTATTTGGTTTTTTTTTTTTAATTATAGAAAATATTACCGTATTTTCAAGGCGTTGTACAGTAGTAGTGTTGCGTAATATTACAGTAGTAAGAAGGGCAGCCTTTGCCTCTCCGGGACACGACGGTACTGGGACTTGACCCCGAAAGCAAATGAGTTACGTCACTGTTAATTAAGTCTCGGTAGTAAAGTGTTGCGTATAAAGCACCTTTAAGGGATTTTTTTTTATTGGTTTAGTAACTCTGTGACAAAAGTGACAACCAAACACAAGTGTTCTTCTCTGGTTTAATTACGCTCTAAACGAGACTATAATTTGCTCTTTTTACTTCGTATAATGTTTGCTTCATCCACAAGATCTTTCATAATTATGTAATGATATAGGCTTAAGTACATGTATAAAAAGAAAAGAACATTGTCCCAAAAAGAACTACTATTTTCTGCTACCACTGCACCAATATAATGACTACTATGCAAATGTGGAGAAAAATAAATTATCTTTATTATTGGTTAATACACGAACCCTTTAACCCTTTAAGCGCAATATCTTGTACGTGTATTAAGTGACTCGTGTAAGAAATGTTTCGGATTTTAATACTTAATATAATTGGGAAGCCTTTCGACAAACCAACTACGAGGTCGCAGTGACACGATAAAACACATTGAATCATCAGATTTCAAGCAAACAAACAACACTAACACGTGCAAGAAAAGTGTGTGGATGTAAATCAGGGCACTCACTGCGCACGACGGCCGTCAGCTGTGACGCGATTCCATGCGGCGCGCAACGGATCGATTTTAATGACGATCCGTTCAGACTACCACCGACAATCAGCAGACGGTGTCGTGTTGTCTAACGCTCACACAGAGAGGAGTTGCATTCGTCGGCTGACGGTCATACGACGCAGTAAGTGCCCAGCTTGAGTGCGCGCGCGTTTGTGTGAGACCAATTGCAAGAAGTCACTTCTTCCCTAGAGTTTTTTTTTTTTTTTAATGGCGTGAGTTTTGACAATAAAACCTGCTAATTTAAAATACTGGATAAAATATACATTAGTCAAACACTATTATTTCCCATGATATTTATTAGTAAGAATACAGCTAATTACATTACCGTACTTAATACTTTGATTGTTTAAAACCACTATGTGTGGCTGTCTGTAATATAAAGCTTTCCGTCTTTCCGTCACTTACAGCACGCTGTGATTTCCAGGTCCCCGATCCAATTCCCGTACTGACCGCAGTTGCCATGGCACTTGATTTTACTATCTCCGAACGTGGCCGGGTGGATGTAAGTAGCGGTTGCGGCGTATTGGTTTATAGCACGCATATGGCCTGCGGAACGACTAAATCCAGCTGGACACGAACCACTAGCCAGAATACAGTAATGACCTGGAGGCCATTTGCCTAAGAAAAAAAAAGCAAACCAAAAAAAAAAACCAAAAAAAAAAAAACATTAAGTATACTTTTACACATTATGTCATATCATCGCAGTTTTTTTTTCTTTGTTCATAAAAAGAAGCAAAAATGATATCTATAATTATCAAACACTGTCCGTCAGAATTTATTTGAAGAGAAGCCATTACAGAAGGTATGTATTACCAAGAGTAGTTAATAAGCACACATCACACCAAAGTAAAAACTTGGGTAGGCCGACAGACCGGTTTATTCAAATCATTCACAATTATAAAACTCAGAGGCCTAGAGAATCTTATCGTTGCATAACCAAGAAAGTACTAAATTGAAATTTAAACTAAATCATGACTTAAGGCACCAGAATAAAAACTCCCCTCTAAAGAAAAGTGTCTAGAAGACTCCGAATAAAAAACACTTCCTTGGCTATCAGCTCCATAAAATGAAATACACCATCAGGCATACAGCGTCGGTTGCCTATAATTTGGTGTGCAGAGACGCTAGTCAAGCATACCACACTTTTATGCACATGGTTGGCTTTATTATATTTGGAAAAGTTAAGCAGTAGTTATCTACGGTGTCGTTGTGGGTTGATAATAAGTATCACCATCTCCGACATGTTTATATATTTCCATTTACTGTCAGCCTACTCAGTGAAAGCACTGCTCCTCCGAGGGACCGTGTATACAACACAATAAATCTACAGACGAAAATAAACTACGGTGTCGTTGTGGGTTGATAATAAGTATCACCATCTCCGACATGTTTATATATTTCCATTTACTGTCAGCCTACTCAGTGAAAGCACTGCTCCTCCGAGGGACCGTGTATACAACACAATAAATCTACAGACGAAAATAAACTAAATCTTAATCTATTTTCTTTAGAATTCGAAGGAAAATGACTGTCTAGTATAGGATTTAATTAAACCAGGGAACAGTCAAATTTCAGTAAGGGAAAGTAATTTCACTGTTCCCTGATTAAACTTAATTTGTAAAATTCGGGTTAAGATATTAATAACTAATCACACGAATTGTATTGAGTTTTTGAATAAAATTAAGTCGCATGTGACGTGTTTGCTTTTGGTAGTTCTTTACCGATTAGCTTCTAAGAAGTTTTAAATATTTCGTTCCTTGGTACAAGGTGATAAAGTATTAATACTAATAGAGCACTAAAATTCAGGAGTATATTGATTTTCATTTTTGTGTGGCGGGGAGAGAGGTGCGCATTGTTTGAATGAGGTTGATTTTACAGTGGCCAAGGGGCCCTACACGGATATTTTTTTTTAAATTTAGATAACAAGAAAAAGTATGAAATAATTATAGGATGATGAGGATGAGATGATGACGACTAATAATGATGATGGTAATGATGTTGATGGAGACAATAGCTGCAAAGTTGCTGGATTGAGGTTTCACACACCCCGCATCCCTACCATTGTTGGGGGCTGAGGTGCGGATTGTCTTGTTTTTTTTTTGGTTTTTTTTTTTTTTTTTTTTTTTTTTTTAGCACATTTGGATATCAGGAAATGGCACTACCATACTTAAAGAACAACCTAAACTTCATTCACCGCGAGAAGTTTTAGATTGTTTATAAGGAGCGGGCACCTACAAATCGGGGGCCCTGGAGATTGGGGGCCCTGGTTCAATGAATCGCCTGAACCTGTGGTAGTTACGCCACTGTTTATTTTGTAAAAGAAACTTATGAAATCAAAGGCGTAAATTGAAATTTAATTTTAAACAAGAGCGGTACTAATCCTGTCTCTTATACACATCTTATGCAATTCTTACTATACACACTTTATAATTATTTATATTTTAAATTACCATGTGAAACGGTACCTATCCTCTCCTATACCACAAGCCTTACTAATCACTCCTGTAAAATGCGGTCGAGAGAATGGGCTAGGCTCACGGATCTAGCGGAGAACTATAAAAACTTTCGATACATGTTCTTCTTGCTCGGAACCTAATTAGGTGGTGTTAACTACTACAGCTTAAATCTGTAGTAGTTTTTTATTTATCTCATTAAGTTTTGTTGATTATTTTTGTTGAGAAAACCTTTATTCTGTTTATATGGAATACCGTACATTCTGAAATAACAGTTGATAGAAATTGAATGATTTAAATTATGTGTGCTGTTTCTCCTCTCATTAAATAAGTATTTGCTGTTTAAGTATAAGTCCCAGTAAAAGTATTACCTTATTATTATCGGATATTCATCAACATTTATGCAAAACTAATGGAAATAAAGTAAGTTATCTTAGATGTTAGCAACCATTTTATGGTGAAGTCTATAGCCATCAATATCATATCGTCCCTAGTTTGTGCCTTGGTAAAGTTCAGTGCAATGAAATAATTCTATGCAGCACCCCCTTTTTAAAATCCCGAATACGCATGTTCCCCTACCCAGACGACAAACTATGATAAGTGTTATGGTAGTTTAAACTTTTCCAACTTACCAATGGACTGTTGCAACTGTTGTTGAGTGCTTTCAAGATCGGATTTGACACTCTCCAACAGAGAAGCCTGGCCTTCAAGATAGCTGGCTAATGCAGGTAAACATTGGGGTATCTATTGAAAAGATGAAAGAACTTTTCGATACTGCGTATAAAGAAACCTAGAGGGATTTTGTTTGCAATTTTGTACAGTGACATGGAATTAAACTTTGCTGAAAACTTTTTACAGCTTGACATATTGTAAGATTTTCCCATGTTAACAAATTTAGCGCCTTTTCGAAAGTATTCGAATTTGAAAATGCACCGTCTGTACAAAAAGCAAAAATAAACTTTGTGCTTACAACCTATAGTAAATTGCAGTGCTTAAATATTTACTTAGCTAATATTGGAGATTTTCATGCTAAAGATGCTAAATTGCCTACAATAAGAAAGAGAAATTTCGACGCAGACAATTCAATTATAATTAGGAAAAAATTACTATTCACCCAAGAATTGCTGGTATTGTAAATCTTAGTTTACTTACTTGGGCTTCAGTTGGATTATCCAGTAAGAAGGCCAAAATGGAGAAGATGAAAATGACCCTCATGATGTCTTTAAACAGGGATAATTTGACTGAAACGGACTTGACGGATTAAGAACAACAAATGACGCACCCTAAAACTTGGTTGCTATATTATTCAGCATATGAGAATGGGTCTTTTCCGGAGCCTGTCAATGAAGCTTAACAACTAACCAATCAGAACAAGCCTAGGAACACGCGAGTGTCTTCCAAACACACGTGTTGTCCAACAAACCCACACAATTGCGTATGTTTTTACGCTGCCGTTTGTGGGACCTTAGCAACAATATCCAAGGGGTGGGGCTTAGCGGTAAGGTCCATTGCCAATGAAATGGAATTAAGCTCTGAATCGCTGCCCTTCGTCACATGGCGCTTAGTCGCGCATGTAGAAAACCATTCGTTTTTTTTGTGCATTCTTCATTTACATGCAAGTAGATTACAACTTTCAATAATTGAAGAATACGAACATTCAATATTACTTAAAAAAGTGACATTGTTGCATACAAACAAAGTTACTATGGTCTCATAGTATATA